TGTCACTCGCGATACAGGCCACACGTTCCTGACACCCCTCGGTGTCTTTCACTCTGCACTTAACGACCACACCGTGTCAGCTCTGAGCACTAACGGCCCATGCCGATTCTGTCACGGCTCGCGTTGACCTTACGCAGGTCACAAATGTGGGTGCTAGCCACGCGGATCATTATCAATGTCTTCGAACACAGAACGTACCCCCTCCATCAAGATCAACATTACTTTCACGGTTCGTCTCACATGAGCATCACATATTGGGCCAGTTGGCCGTGCACCCCGTCGCACGGATTCTCCGATGATTCCGATTTAGAGGCTTAGTTGAGACTCTCCAAGAGACACAACTTCGTTGTCGGGCGAACATACGTCCCACTCTTTGTCTTCACTTCCGCTGATCTGACTCCTCCGTCAGAGCCTGGGTAGACTCTTGTGATGCGTCCCAATTCCCAGTATCCTCTAGGACTCTGACTGTTGACGACCAAAACTACGTCGTCTATCTGCAGATTCTTCTTCTCTGTCTTCCATTTCTGTCTGTTTAATCAGTGAATGCATCGTCCTTGGCTTTGCATATTTACTTTCACTGTTTCAGAATGAGCTATAATAATGACCCCGTTTCAATCAGTTTCTCATCCAAAAGCCCCCTTTTCCTTAATTTTCTAAGCACAAAAATATGACAACAATTTCGTTGCTAGGCAACAAACGCACAGTACCCCCCGGTCGCGACAGGGAGAAAACTGAAATGCGCCGCTTTTGGACGAAAGCCATTATAAACACTCCCAAACACTAGGGTAACAGTAACTTAGACACACTGAACATGAAAATGATATCAGTAACCCTGTTTATGCCCCTGAGGTCATCTCAGGTCACGAATGGTATCTAACAGTTTTTCGCAAATAACTTTTGATAGAGGCATGCTAGAGCAATGAAAACGCCTTAGATGTATTCAGCTCGACGATACGGATCGACTGATATGCAACATGACCATTTTCGGTCAGTAATGACCTTGACCTGAGGTCAAATTTTCAAGTTGACCTTTCAAGGTCAAGTTGTAGTTCATTCGATGCGCCTTGACGAGAGGAACACGATGCCGGTAAAAGTAACCTCGTGCAAGGCTTGGATCAAAAGTTATTGCAGAAAAACTGTTTCCGCAAAAATCGGCTATTTGACAGTTTTTGCCCCCTGCAGGCAAAACTGTTGACATCAGGTCAAATTTGAGGAATTACTCAGAAAGAGCGTTAATAGGGCTATCGAATGCGATTTTCTACGGCGCTATAGCTCTATTGGTTTCCGGGTTATGCGTTAGCTTCTTGGAAATTGTCGACATTCGACCTGAAAATCGGCGAAATTTTGCCTCTGGTGACTTGACCCTTGACCTGACCAAAAAAGTGGCCAATGTGATTTCGTCATTATTTTTTTGGCGCTCTTTCGAACGTCGCCTTCCGCGTATCGCGTATCGCTACGTGGCCCAGGAGCCGAGTTAGAAGGGGGGGGGGGGGTGTTCAAACACCCCCCAGCAGGGCGTGGAAATCCAGGACCCCCAGTGGGGCGCGGGTTAAGCAAAGCGGCGTTTACGTGGGCGTCGCTTACGTCAGCGTTCTGATCGGACATTTAGACAGAATTTTATCTAATGAAGCTATCGAGCTCAGCAAGCATGTCTTTTGTAGGTATAGGTTAAGCTCGAGTGTTTTAATGGTCAAATCGACTGAGCTGGAGCCTACGCTAAGTGATCTTGCTGAGTAGGTCCTCATCCCTACAGTCTGATGAGGCAATTCCGGGTATCGGGATAATTTAGATGCCACAGTAGGTACCTATCAAAATTGTGCACGGCCTTTCCCATTGAACTTACTGGCTGCAGCTGCTCCCGCCGCAGGGCTTTTCCAACCTTTGTCGCCTATATCGAGCACCGGAGCGACTCGAGCCCGGGCCCTCACCACCGGGTCTACCAACTAAGCTACGGAACGGAATTCGGATTTTTATCCACCCTTTTCCGAAACATTTCCAGGTCGGTTTCGGGTTTAGTCCCACAGCAGCCTGTAAAACTTCCGCACAATTCTGCAGCGAATAGCGATGCACCCTGCGCGTCTTTGTTGGCTGAAGCGACCGCTACCGACCCTGCGTCGCCGCGGGTTCCGCTCGCCGCGCGCTCCATGCCAATGACCACTAACAAGGAAACTGGCACCGGCCGCGCGCCGCCCGTCCGTCGCACCGTCCCTTTCCCGGTCCGATCGGTCCAAGTAGTGACCGTCCTGACCGCTCGGACCGCTTACGCGGAAAATAGCGGCTGAGGCCTTGCCGGCGCGTTTTTCGCGACCGCACAAGGTCGTCTAACGCCGCGTGGGGCCGGCTACATCCGCGTATGCACCGTCATCCTCCGTGATCGCGCCGCTCGCCGGCCGCGCCGCTGACCGCTCTGGCACCCCTCGGCAGGGCCTGGACTTCCGTCTGGAGCACACGCACTGTTTCAGCGAGCACGGCGAGGGCGGTCACTACCACTGCGACACGACGCCGGCCGGCGTGCGCTACCGCGCCTACCTGCAGCTGGCCGAGAGTGCCGTGCGCATCGACGCGCCCACAGAGACCCACCAGATCGGCCGCGACTAGCCGGGCGCGCCGCCGGAGCCGACTGGCAGCGGACCAGTCTGGCGGCCGCTCAGATAACGGCAACACGTATTTTTGGTATTGTACTGTTTACATGCAAATATAGTAATGGGAAAGTACTGTGCATGTATGTTTCCCTGATTGACACGTTTGTTGCACAAGACAATACTAGTCAGCAAGTAAAAATTGATGAATATTTTAGGGGTAAACGCTATTAGCGAGCCCGTGGAAAGTACGAACGAAGCATTATAATGGGTTCGCTGATTTGTCTGTGCGAATGCCCCGAAAACTGTCACTGTCCATGTTTCCCCACGACTTCTCCACCTGCATATCCGGGAGGTGGCTACATCGCTTTCCCGGAGCTAACGAAAGGATAAGGCCGTAATGACTGTGTAGCTCCTTGTCTATACATTAAGTGTAAATCTTGACACCTTCGCGAAGTTGGAGGAGCAGAGGTGCATCGTGAGAGACTAGGCCACCGAAATTGATGAATATATTTAACTTTGAAAACTGCGCTTCAGCGAACTCAATCCGGTTTCGAAGTCTTAGTTAGCCCAATCATGTGAAAATTCTTGAGGCTCGTCGGCGATTTACTCAATTTGCAAAATGCAATCCTTAAGGAAACGCATACACTGTAGCTTATCTTTCCTTGTGACTGAGTTGTGTGTCTTTTTTTTGCGTGAGTGCAATGTTCCTCCTGCACTTGTAACTGTGGCAACTGAAGATACCATCGGAATGCCACTGTTTACACACATACTGAATTAATGCCTCTTTGTGTGTTTGAACCGGAGACGGATTTGAATACAACGGGAGACATTTCTACAAAAGGTTTTGCGCCACCAAAGATTTCCGCCTGATTCCCGGGCTAATTTAAATCGGCCGGGCCCGGAGGAGAAATTCCAAGCACCGCAGCCCGGAGGGGCCTTTTTCGACCCCCTGTAACAATCCGTAAATAAAGATCCCACAAAACGATAGGTTTCCACCAGACGATTCTTGGGCATCATTTTTTTTTACCTCACGTCAATTTAAAAGGTCAGAGTTCAAGGTCAAAGACAAGAACCAGCAAATATGTAGTGATGTAGTGATCTCAAGCTGTGTTCCAGAGGTTGGCATGATGCATAAAATCGGGCAAAAATGGTTGGAGACGAAAAAAGACATTCTGACGAATCCGATAATGTGCTCAAAGATCAAGGAAAAGGTCAAGGTCACGCTAAAAAATTGCACTTTTTTCGTGCATCATTTACACCGAATCCCAGAATGTTTTGAAATAGGTTCAGGCTTACCAGGTCCAGATTTGTGGTCTATGTACCGATGCAAGGCTGCCTCACGGTCAAGGTTATGCAAGGTTATCAATGATAGAGGTTATTTAACGGATTCAAGTCAGCCATGTTTACTATCTTGAAGCACTAAATAAATGTCTAGGGCAAAATGGAGGCCATATTCGTGATCACCGGCTAATAATATATCATACTCGTATACGACGTCTTATGTGTTAAGGTCATCCAAAGGTCATTCCGAGAGGTCAGCATAAAACTGAACCTTTTCCAAACAAACCCCATGTCGTTCAACACGTCTCGACAATGCGAATGCGTTGGTTCAACTGTCTTAGCTCTGAGACCATTTTATGTTGAAGTTATTAGTGAAAAACGAAAACCCTGGCTCCGGCTCTAAAATACCTGGCCTTAGGTCACCAAAACTACCAATACAACATTGTTAACTTGTAAGCTACAACATTGCATTGCAAACTACACCATCTTTATGACCAGACACATCCAAAGCGGACCGACGTCGGGGACGGCCGTGGAGCAACTGAGACCCTGCCGGAATGCCGGCCCTCTCGCAGCCAAGGGAATGCCTGCCCTCTCATAGCCAAGGAAATGCCCGCCCTCCTACAGCCGAGGGAATGCCCGCCCTCTCACAGCCAAGGGAATGCCCGCCCTCCTACAGCCGAGGGAATGCCCGCCCTCCTACAGCCGAGGGAATGCCCGCCCTCTCACAGCTGAGGGAACGCGGGCCTCACACAGCTGAGGGAATGCCTGCCGTCCCACAGTTAATGGAATACCAGCCTGCTTACATCTCCCCCCCCCCCCCCCCCGTTCCCCGCAGCTGAGTGGATTTCCCAGTGACGCCCATTCGCGCCGCTGCCGATTGTTTGTGTGAACAATACTGAATGGTCGCATGTCCCAGTGAGGGGCGCCGCCTAATGTGAGGCAACTGTAGGTCGCTCTGCCAACCAGACGCGTTATAGGATGTCGTAACGGTGATATGAGCGGACGGATGTCATTGTTCGTCGTTACTGGAAGACCTCAAAGGACAATAGTCCATCGCCAGCCGTCCCTGGCAACCTTTACGATAACTCTGTGTGTGTCAACTTACATAGACTCCTTCAAATAGAACACGCCAAATTACGGAAGCTGAAAATATATTTGGTCATCTCTGCATAACCATCTTGGATCATAAACAAAACTGAATACAAATTGAACAATTCGTTAAAATAAAATAGGTCGTCTGCATCTGGATTTGTCGCAGCGAACCGCCCGATAACAGCCAATATGTGCACATTTACCCCAGCGACTCGGCTCAGCGGAAGATACACCGTGTACCAGTCTGGTGGACTACTCTAATCAGCCTCGTCTCGGTTTCGGACCGAGTCGGTTGTGTGGAATCGATATGGATTCGGTTCGAACACCCACTGGTCCTCTGGATATCACGCCCGGCTCACACGGCCGGCGCCGCGCGAATCACAGGCTCGGCGTGACGCTGCACCGCGCGGACCGCTCGCCCTCCCCTGCGGGGACCGGCACCCACACTGCCGCCGACCGTTCCTCGCCGAGGCCGGGCGCACCCACCGCCCGCGCGGCTAACAATCGGGCTCCACCGGTCAGCCGATCAGAACAAGCACCACACGGGGCCCTGCACCGCCGAGTGCCCACTCCAGCCCTAGGGGCCGCCATCAGTGCCTTTTAACACTGCAAACTGGCGGCTTCAGCCCAGACAGGCTCCGATATGCCTCAAAGACATTCCCTCGAAACATCCGCAACCTCACGATATCAACGACTCGACACCCCGAATATCAGCTAAAGCTACATCACAACACCCGTTAAACAAAGTGCCAAAGCTAGCTAGACTAGTACAAAACCATCCAGGACCGTTCCTGCATTGTTAAACCTCAACTGGCGCGGATAGGGATCACATTTTCTTCAGTATTTAAACTTATCTCACCACTTCCTCTGGTAACTTTCAATGCTCCGCTTAGAGGACGACTGGGACTCTCCATTCTACCAAAAATATTCGACCAGCCTCCGTGCTGCGTCCCAGCCGCATTCCTCCACTCACAGCGCCGCCACGCGGCGGGTAACAAAGCTGAAGTACGCGCCGCCGTCGAGGTGTGGCGCTACGATCGGAACACATGCACCACTCGGACGACGTATTTGCGGCAGATGGGACACTCTGCCATCAGCTTACCGCAGGCGGTGCAGGTGGCCATGTGACCGCACTCCAGCATCACGCAATCGATCAGCGAGTCCATGCAGATCTTGCATATGTCGCGGTCGGACGCGGTCGCCAGAGCTGCGGGACGAGAGAGGGGTAGGTCAGATGAGTCAGGGCCCAGGGGAGGGGATCATTCGGTCAGAGGTGGGGAGGAGAGGGTCCATCTGGCCAGGGGATGTGGGTAGGCATCAGTTGGTCACCTGTTAGCTTGCTTGTCAGTTAGATCAAGACATCGGTTCGCACTTCGCTCGGTAGAGCCATGGGAAAGTCCATTATCAGGGTCGTGGGTATTCGCTGGTTAGCTAGGCCACGGATAGTTGCCAGTCACAGAGCGAGCTAGGCAACCCATCGCTCAGTTGAGTTTCGGGCACCATGACTCAGGTCAGACGGGCTCAGCGGGTTCAGTGTGGCGGCCATGCTGACCGTTTGGCCAGGCACGGGTGCAGTCAGTAACGGTGCAGCGGTCCGTGGGACCCGTCAGACCCGACAACGGACGAAAGGCACGCCAGGGACACCGACTAACCGGCCGGCCAGCGCCGTCGCCGCTCTAATGCATACAGGACCCTGTTCGAGGGCTGCCAGCGACGATGGTGATAAACAGTAAACGCTAGTAACGCTGCCATTGATAAGCTTATTTCAATTCAAGCTGGCCTTTCCACATGTAGTCTGCTGTATCTTTCGAAACGACCCATATGAAACGAGTTCCGATAGTTGTAACTAAAACGTTTGTACATTGACATCGTAGTAAGTTCATCCACGAAAGGATGGCAACGCGAAATCTAACACCGATTTCGGTGGATCATATCACTGTTTGGCGAAAAACATGCCAGAAAGCCAAGCGTTCCCTACCCATTACACAGTTTTACAACTCTATTTATCGCCTGATGACATGATAGCCTCACAAAATCTCCGGAAACTAACGGCTAGGCAAAACCAGGTCAAAAAGGACCCGAAATGTGACAATTCATCTAATGAACCCCGCCTTTCACCGTCTGTGGGTGGGACGGCCCGGTTCCGTCAGCGGCGGCTGACCTACCCTCTGCGTTGCGCTTAGTCTCGTGCCAGAGCTCGCGGACGCGCCGCAGCAGGTCCTGTTTCTCGATGACGCCGCGGTAGTCGGTTCGACGGTGCTGCAGCAGCCGCTTACACTGGCGAACCGTCAGCCGGGCGATCAGCTCCTCCGAGGGAATCTGAGCCACGTCCGTCACACGAGACAGGTCCTGGGGGTGCGGGAACGCAGCATTGTCAGCTGCAACACGCGGTACAGTCAGCAGCAAGCACAACACACAGAAGGATACGGCACCCAGTACTCAGCACTCGGCAGACACACAAAGCCTGTCAAACACTGCCGGAACACGACACACGTTCTGTCCAGCGGCGGTGCGATCGATCTCCAGAGCACTCACCAGGCCGGTCTCGGACATGGGGTTGTCGGCCGCCGGGTCCCCGGACCGCTCCACCTCGATGGTCACCGACTCGGACTGCGGCTCGTCCGGGTCATCGTCCACCACCACCTCCTCTCCGGCATCGCTGCCGCCGGCCGGGCCGTCCACCTCGACCTCCACATCCACCTCTCCGTCCACCGCACCGCCCTCCGCCGGCGGCTCCGACCGGACGCCGCTCTCACCGCCGTCACCATTCGTCTCCACGTCGACCACCACGAACCCGTCCTCGTCGACGTCGTCACAGCTCTCCGAGCCGGCGGGCGACGCCGAGCGGCGGCCGGCCGCGCCCGCCGGCTTCGGCGACGGCGGCGCCTCCTCAGCATCCATGGCGCGCACTCGGATCGACTCGTAGGGCCCCACGCGACTCGAATCTCGCGGCCGGGCGCGGTGGGGCAGGCCGTCGGCGGCGGGGGCGGGGGTGGGCGCGGGGGCCGGCTCGCGGTCGAGGTCGAGGTCGGGGGCGGACGGTAACGGCGACCGCTCGCTCTGAGTATCCGACTGCTCGGCCGACCTCCGGGACATCAGAATCGTGTCCACCAGGTCCGATTTTTCTGCAACAGAACAAAGCTTGGTGTTATTATGTAATATAACAGGGTGTAAGAAACAGCGCTAATTATGCGACGGCGCTAGCATATTCAACATAACCCAACGATCAACAGACCAAACAGTACTTGAACATAACTGACAAAAATGATTTCCTTCATACTTGCTATACAATGAACGTGCCTAATAACAAAGTAAATGAAATATAATAAATACGATGCCAGATAGTCTTGGTTTATCAAGTGCCACCATATCCATTGCCTTACATTTATGCAGTAACCTTGTAACTGGTAATGACGCCCACGTGTGTGGGCACGATGATGGCCAGGCAAGCCATGTGTTTTTCGACTCCCCCCCCCCCCCCCCCCCCCGTAGTGACACAGGACACAGCCACAGCAATGGCCCCGCTCCAGCTGAAGCGACCAGCCGCCAGTCGCCGATCGCGACCGGCAGTGCCGATCGATAGATTGTCATGGAAACATCGATGGTGTGTTCGGAGCGCAGTGTGCACGGTGGGTGCGGTGTACACCGCCCCCGGGCCGTGCCACGGAGGCGGTCATACGGTGCACTTTTGTACACACATCCGCCGAGCAGATGGATTGCACTCATGGGCAAAAAAGGTGACGCACATCGTTTCATCACTTGATTTCTCTGGTATGATTTCAGTCGGAGAAACATACCATCATTAAATCGGCGTCTGTGATCATTACGAAAACACACTATTTCTCAGTTGTGAGTTAAAAAAGTAAAAACTGAAATGCAGAACACCATAAACAATCGATATCTCGGCTATCTTAGCCTATGTCCGCTCGATGTGACAATAATGTCGGTACCTACCAAGGTAGTGCGCGCCACTCGATATTTACTTCGCACGAAAGTTGGCTTCCGATGAAACGACAACCTGGCATCATTTTTTTTTTTTTTTTGTAGATTACGAAGTGCTTCAAGGCAGGCGCCTGAGGCAACTGGGCCCTGTTTCACCGGTGATAGCACACGCTGCTATCACGTTTCGCGAGCTGACGTCATGTCATGACGCCATACTGTTGACGTGATGGGTAGTTCCGGCGCACGATTGCCGCGACCTTGGCTGCGGCATTAAGTGACGTATGAGCCTAAAAGTAAGAGTTAACACAGTCATGATAGTATATTTATTTTAAATATATATCTTTTTAATATGATGTATTTAAAAGGAAAAGGGTTTAGGGAAAATTTGGACGTAAACTTCGAACATTTAGTTGATGACGTAAAACAATATTGCGGCAATAGTGCGCCAGAACTGCCCCTTACGTCAGCAGTATGACGTCATCACATTACGTCAGCTCGCGCAATTTGATAGCAGCGTGCTGTTATCACCGGTGAAACAGGGCCCTTTTATTTGATCATATGCTAAGTTTTTTCAGATCATCATTTATCGAGAACGTTTTATTTTATGAGCATCATCCATGATTATTCTCTACCGTCATTTATAGTGACGTTGATACATCCATCTCACTGGCTATTTTTCTCGATATATCATCACAGACGTCATATATTGACTCCAGATGACGTCACCTCTACAGATACACTGTGAATGGGGACGACGTAATACCAACGCCAGAGTTCAATCAGTTTATATAACGTGCGGGCGATCAGGCATAACGCTGAGACGATACTGATAACAGCCGCGCAGGGCGCCCTCCCACTCCAGCTGACTATCAACGTTCATGGCCTTTGATGACGTCCTATACCTATCGAAGAGCGATGTCGAACAACCACCGCAGTTAGGGAGCCCAACAGTTCATGACCGATCATTACGGAGCGAGCGAAGCGAGCGTAGTCTTTCCTTAGATTAACGGAAATTTCTGAGTATGAGCGGCCGGCCGGCCGGCCGTGGTCACGCTTTTGCGAGGCTTATATCTCAGCAACCACTTGACCGATTTACACGCGGTAATTTTTGTAGGGTAGCTTCATTCCTTCTACCAAGTATTGGACTATTCCCGATGCATGTGGGTGACCCCTTATGCACGTGCCACGTGCAAAACGAAGAGGTATCACTTTTGTAATTGTTGCAATATCTCGGTAACTACTGGGCCGATTGCGCTGAAAGTTGGCATGTAGGTAGGCAGTAGGCACCCACTAGGCAATGCATATCCATGTGCCAAAGTTGGGGTGCTGCTGCACGTGCGCACGTGCAGGGGTCGATTCCAGATCTCGAGAACGGCTTGACCGATTGCGCTCAAATTTGGTACACGGTTACGGAGCAGTTAGTAGGGTGCCGTGCACAAGTCAGTTGGGACCCATTTCGCACGTGCGCACGTGCAGGGTGCCGCTTCCAGATATCGAGAACGGCGGGGCCGATTGTGCTCAAATTTGGCACATCACTACTGACCGGTTAGTAGGGTGCCGTGCACAAGTCAGTTGGAGGTACCCTCTCGAAACTTCGCACGTGCAAGGCCCACCCTCTCGCTCGCTCCGTTAGTCGCCCCAAAAGGCGTTATACTGGTTAATTATTGTTTAACATGTTATATAAAATGAAGATCTCTGCACCAATCTGCCACCTATAAGGACGTATGTTTGGTTAGCATGACGGCTGAGTGCCATAAATGTGTGCAATCGCCTCGAAACATGATGACCTTGGTTCTCCGAACTCCGTGTCTCTCGTAAGCGATGTTAAAGGTAGACTGCCACCTTTTTTTCACAAAACGGTTTTCACTAGAGCTGAGCCACCTATGTCCCAGACTGAAGTCGGTTTTCCGAAATTCGAACCCGTTTGCGAGAAATCGGAGACCAAAGTTCAGTTTGATGCCATTTTTTTAGTCCAAGAAAACCGACATCTCTACTGTTTATCGATAACTTTGAAACATGAATTTTCTTATCTTTTGGTAAATATATGTCAAAACTTTGATTGTTTCGAGATCAGAGAAGAATTTTGGAGTGTCAAAATAAAAGTTAAACTTATATATTCAGTAGTTCATTTTTCCAAAAAGTGTGGGAAATGGGGTTTAACATGGGCCAGACCCATTCCAAATGAGCCATGATTTTTAAATGTTTTACGAACTTAAATGCAAAATAAATTAAACATGGCCAATTTCTTATGAAATCATATATTAGTAAATCATAAAATACCTTACTTTTTCAAATAAAATGTAATAATCTTATGACCTTGAAGTCTAGTGATGTGTAAACATTGTCGCTAGACATTAACCGATTGATAATTGTATGATAATCGACAATTTTTTTCGCGATTCACGTGATGATACTTTGTCAGGTGAATTCTAAAATTTTGTTTTGTCCAGGGAATAAATCATAGGCCGATCTGAGAAAACTTTTTGAAGGTGGCAGTCTTCCTTTAAGTAATAATATCCATCCGGGAGCGCGGAGGTTAGTCAGCCCCGGGTCTGATCAGCACCAGCCCCTGCTGACGCCGGCGGCCGGTACTCACCGCGGCAGGTGGCCGAGGAGACGTCCGCGATCTTCATGATGTGCTTCAGGTCGCGCACGGTCATCTGCTGCAGGGCGGCGCGCTCGTAGCGTACGCCGGCCAGTCGCGTGCAGCGCAGGCACTGCCGGCCGACGCCGCACAGACGCACCCGCTGCATGCAGGCTGAGCAGCACACCGAGCGGCACATTAGACATGTCCGCTGCCAAAGGATAGCAGGGCAAGGTGTCAGAGCTGTGGGTCTGAGGGCAAAATATAACAAGGCACACCACAGCTACATTTTGTGGCATATCACGTTGACATATAGATACAGCTACATTTGATAGGTACGGCACAGATCAACACCACTAAAAATATCTAACTAAAAATTTAGTTAAATATTTTAACTAAAATTCCTTAAAGCAAAAATAGGACTGAGAGTCCAAGATGAGCATCTCATACTGCACTTAGCAGATGCATGGATAACACCTCACCAAGTTGGGTGGAAGTGGACACTGTTCAAGGTCATGATCAGATTGTCACTGTCAGACTTCATCAGTACTAACAGTGCTATCCCTGCCATATCTATTTTCATAGGCATGTTTGTGAATAATGTCAGACACAAAAAATTGAGTGCTCTCACCATCCGCATCATCATTCATCAACAGCCTACTACCAGTGGTCGTCACCTCTGACACCCTGAACCAATTCAAAAACCGGCTTGATGCTCACTGGGCACACCTTGCACACGACATCCCTCACACAGACGAATAGGCAGACGCTAAAGGGGCTCAACTAGAAAGGTTCCTAAGGGCCTCTGGCCCATCCAAATTCCATAGGTACTTCATAAGTTGAAGTAATGTGACATTTGCTTACCCTTTTCCTTAACCATGAGAATTTGGAGCTGCAGCCTTCACATTGTGCAGGTATTGGAGAGGGAGACATCTCTTTGTCCTAGAACGAAAAATCGCAATTATTGAAGCACATTTTTGAGTTAGTATTATACCTAATGTTTACCAATGTTTATCTTCGTAGACAGACAAAACCTCGCAAGCGTCTAGCAAACAATATCAATATTCGTCTTGATGTCTCAAGTTCTTGAAAACCTCTGAGACAACCTCAGTAAACCATATGGAACTACAATTCAATTTAAAATAGCTCAAACCTTCTGACAATGAGAAGAGAAAATAATGCGACGGTGATGGCGCATCAACAAAATAATTTGGCATTCCAGCTAGCAATTAATTGTCGTTCTAAAATACCGCTAGGTTCGCTGTACTTGCTAAACAAATTATTTTTGTTTTTCAATATTTTTCTCAGCGTAGGGTACAAATTAACAAGATCTGACAAAAATATTTTGTATAATGCAAATTTAAGCTGGAAAAAATTGTTAAGAAAAAACTGATTCTACTTTTACTTGACTTTCACAGCGCCCCTAGCGGTCATTATGCGTGAATCGGTAAAGTTAAATAGGACCTGAAATTCCACCTTCGAAAGCTCGCTCAATTTGCGTAATTTGCGCTGTCGCGCTGGAAGACTGGAAGAGGTAAGGTGAGTGATGACCGTGGAAGGAAGATACGTATATTTTGAATGATGTGGGTTTGTGGATTTGAGTGTGTTTGAGTCCAGCAAATTAGAGTTAGTAGGTATCGATTTCTATGGGTTTGTTCCCGTCGCTCCTCTAACCTCCTCCAAGCTCCTCTAACCTCCTCTCATTTCAAAAAATCGTTCCCGTCGCTCCTCCAAGCTCCTCCAAGCTCATCTTGATTTCACATCTCACCACCACTATTTGCCTCCTCCCGGACAACACTATTCAACCGCCACCCTTGCAGCCATTCTATAACTCAGGAACTACTGGACCAATCGGAACGAACGAAACACCATTCGAATCAGGGGGTACGATTTTATCAGCCGTTTCAAAGATCGTGACCCCAGGTGACCTCGGTGACCTCAAGAGGTCAACTCGGCATTGACACCTATTGCAGCCATTCTATAACTCAGGAAGTACTGGGCCGATCGCGACGAAAACACCACCAGTCGAATCAGCGTATGCAATTTCATCAGCCGTTTCGAATATGGTGACCTCAGGTGACCTCGGTGACCTCAAAAGGTCAACTTAACGTTTTCGCCTATTGCAGCCATTCTATAACTCAGGAAGTACTGGGCCGATCGTGACAAAAACACCACCAGTCGATTCAGCGTATGCGATTTCATCAGCCGTTTCGAATATGGTGACCTCAGGTGACCTCAGTGACCTTGGGAGGTCACATGACCGATGTGGCCTATGGCAGCCATTCTATAACTCAGGAACTACTGGGCCGATCGCGACGAAAACACCACCAGTCGATTCAGCGTATGCGATTTCATCAGCCGTTTTGAATATAGTGACCTCAGGTGACCTCGGTGACCTTGGGAGGTCACATGACCAATGTGGCCTGTGGCAGCCATTCTATAACTCAGGAACTACTTTGTCGATCGTGACGAAAACACCACCAGTCGATTCAGCGTATATGATTTCATCAGCCGTTTCGAATATGGTGACCTCAGGTGACCTCAGTGACCTTGGGAGGTCACATGACCAATGTGGCCTATTGCAGCCATTCTATAACTCAGGAACTACTGGGCAGATCGTGACGAAAACACCACCAGTCGATTCAGCGTATGCGATTTCATCAGCCGTTTCGAATATGGTGACCTCAGGTGACCTCAGTGACCTTGGGAGGTCACATGACCGATGTGGCCTATGGCAGCCATTCTATAACTCAGGAACTACTGGGCCGATCGCGACGAAAACACCACCAGTCGATTCAGCGTATGCGATTTCATCAGCCGTTTTGAATATGGTGACCTCAGGTGACATCGGTGACCTTGGGAGGTCACATGACCGTTGTGGCCTATGGCAGCCATTCTATAACTCAGGAACTACTGGGTCGATCGTGACAAAAACACCACCAATCGAATCAGCGTATGCGATTTCATCAGCCGTTTTGAATATGGTGACCTCAGGTGACCTCGGTGACCTTGGGAGGTCACATGACCAATGTGGCCTATTGCAGCCATTCTATAACTCAGGAACTACTGGACCGATCGTGACGAAAACACCACCCATCGATTCAGCGTATGCGATTTCATCAGCAGTTTCGAATATGGTGACCTCAGGTGACCTCGGTGACCTTGGGAGGTCACCTGACCAATGTGGCCTATGGCAGCCATTCTATAACTCAGGAACTACTGGGCCGATCGTGACGAAAACACCACCAGTCGATTCAGCGTATGCGATTTCATCAGCCGTTTTGAATATGGTGACCTCAGGTGACCTCGGTGACCTTGGGAGGTCACATGACCAATGTGGCCTATTGCAGCCATTCAATAACTCAGGAACTACTGGGCCGATCGTGACGAAAACACCACCAGTCGAATCAGCGTATGCGATTTCATCAGCCGTTTCGAATATGGTGACCTCAGGTGACCTCAGTTCCTGAGTTATAGAATGGCTGCCATAGGCCACAACGGTCATGTGACCTCCCAAGGTCATCGATGTCACCTGAGGTCACCATATTCAAAACGGCTGATGAAATCGCATACGCTGAATCGACTGGTGGTGTTTTCGTCGCGATCGGCCCAGTAGTTCCTGAGTTATAGAATGGCTGCCATAGGCCACATCGGTCATGTGACCTCTCAAAGTCACTGAGGTCACCTGAGGTCACCATGTTCAAAACGGCTGATGAAATCGCATACGCTGAATCGACTGGTGGTGTTTTCGTCGCGATCGGCCCAGTAGTTCCTGAGTTATAGGATGGCTGCAATAGGCGAAAACGTTAAGTTGACCTTTTGAGGTCACCGATGTCACCTGAGGTCACCATATTCAAAATGGCTGATGAAATCGCATACGCTGAATCGACTGGTGGTGTTTTCGTCACGATCGACCCAGTAGTTCCTGAGTTATAGAATGGCTGCAATAGTCGAAAACGTTAAGTTGAACTTTTGAGGTCACCGAGGTCACCTGAGGTCACCATATTCGGAACGGCTGATGAAATCGCATACGCTGATTCGATTGGTGGTGTTTTCGTCGCGATCGGCCCAGTACTTCCTGAGTTATAGAATGGCTGCCATAGGCCATAACGGTCATGTGACCTCCCAAGGTCACTGAGGTCACCTGAGGTCACCATATTCGAAAAGGCTGATGAAATCGCATACGATGATTCGACTGGTGGTGTTTTCGTCGCGATCGGCCCGGTAGCTCCTGAGTTATAGAATGGCTGCCATAGGCCACAACGGTCATGTGACCTCCCAAGGTCACTGAGGTCACCTGAGGTCACCATATTCGAAACGGCTGATGAAATCGCATACGCTGAATCGACTGGTGGTGTTTTCGTCACGATCGGCCCAGTAGTTCCTGAGTTATAGAATGGCTGCAATAGGCGAGAACGTTAAGTTGACCTTTTGAGGTCACCGAGGTCACCTGAGGTCACCATATTCGAAACGGCTGATGAAATCGCATACGCTGATTCGACTGGTGGTGTTTTCGTCGCGATCGGCCAAGTAGTTCCTGAGTTATAGAATGGCTGCAATAGGTGTCAATGCCGAGTTGACCTCTTGAGGTCACCGAGGTCACTTGGGGTCACGAGCCTCAAAACGGCTGATAAAATCGTACCCCCTGATTCGAATGGTGTTTCGTTCGTTCCGATCGGTCCAGTAGTTCCTGAGTTATAGAATGGCTGCAAGGGTGGCGGTCGAATAGTGTTGTCCCTCCTCCCTCATCCCAAATGAAAGTTGGTTTTTTGGAGGAGGCTCTTGCGTAGACATATTTGGCGCACTTAATACAAATGTGAATTGTTTATAATTGAGATTTGAGGGAAGTAGAAATGATTTTAGTGATTGCTGACGATTGGATATCTTTAAAGAGTAATGTTTGATATTAATATAAGGTTATCTTATTAGAAAGCGATTATTATCTCTTGATTTATGTTTGCGCGCCATAAATCGCCGACCGTTACAGCCCGCAAACAGCTGATTTCCTCGCGAAAATGTTCCCGTGGCTCCTCTGAAACGGCTCTCCTCCAAGCTCATCCAACCTCATCCGAGATTTCTTGGGAGGAGCGACGGGAACAGACCCTATCACTTTGACTTACTATTCTAAAATCCCTGAGTGTAACTCGGCAGATCAAAATTATCTCAACCCGATGTCAAGATTGAGATTGAGGTTGGGTGCTGCATAATGGTTACATTTACGGTAAATGTCAAGTTTAAGTCCTAAGAAGATTTCATTGATAAATTTTTCATATTTTTACATTATTTGACATCCTGAATCCAAAAATGATACTCATATGTGTCGCAAATAAAAGAATAAAACATAATCAAACCTGACCTAACCTTACCTACTTACCTATAACCTACCAACCTACAACCTACAAACCTACCCTAACCTAACCTAACCTACAAACCTACCTACCTACAATCTAAAACCTACAAACCTACAACCTAACCTAACCTAACCTAACCTAAAACCTAAAATTTTTGCTGTTTCATATTCGTATCAACAGCGTCACAATTGTAGTTAGGACCTTAACTTGACATATACCTACATTTACTTGACATTTGTTATTTTCACATGACTCATACAGTAGCTGAAGTAAGCAATAGTATTGATATGCAATGCAGTTATTCAAGGCCTAGACAGCAAGCTCCTTAGTATGTGCACCACCACCACCACCCCACCTGCTCCGACGGCAATCTGTCCAATCCATTCCTACATTTCAATTTGAGCTAAACCTTACCCATTTTACCCTAGGCTCAAAATTGAATAAAAACTATACTATATATAGTTTTTTTGTGTAAAAAATATAATTGCCAAAAAATCCAAAAAATGTTTCGATTAAAAAAAAACGGAATATACGTGATAGCCCCTACCGTTTTCTATTCCATACCAAATTTTAGAACGATACCTCTTTTTGGCCAAGTTATAGCAAAAAAAAACTTCAAAATTGATGATGTCAAACCTTCACACTCTTTTTAGCAATTCTAGACCACGTAGCGCAAAACAAAGATCACCATTAGACTCGCCGTGACGAGCTGCATCTAATCGATACCCATTTTATGCAAAAATGTCAACTTTGAAATTTGACCTTTTGACCTGAGATTAGACATTGACCTGAAATTGACCTGACCTCCACCAAAAACTGACCTAAGCTGTTCCTGATGTTCTTATAACCAACAGCATT